TCGTGCAGGACGTTACCATCAGAGGTGAATTCAGGAGCCCAGAGGAGCTATGGCCCTGGCTGGGTGAGGAAGAGCTTTCTGGAGAAGGGAGAGCTCAGCACGTCTTGGAGGTGACCAGAAATGGACAGGAGGGGACAGGCACTCTCAGCAGCAAGTGATGTGCACAGTGCCAGGGGCCAGAGCACCTGCTGACCAGTGCAGGAGGAGCCAGGCCAGAGCTGTCTGGCGGCCTTCCAGTGGGTGTCCATAGACAGCAGTCCATGGAGAGAGCCAAGGGGAACATGATGGATCTGTCGGGAAAAGAAAATCTGAGCACGAGTCAGCTCAGAGGTTCAGCCAGCCCACGCACCTCTGCTGCTTGCTTCCAGAGTCCAGCTGTTACTTCATAGCATGACGGTGACCACAGGCTTCTGCGGAGGGCCTCTGTGCCCCTTCCTTGCTGTCATCGTTGTCCAAATGACACCAAGCAATGTGACTCTTTCTGGAATATTCTAGAATCTAATGCTTCCCCCTGGAAGCAGCTGGTATCAGTCAACTCAGTGTAACAAGTCCTACTCCCAGAAATGCAGACTGACTTGGTGGAATGAGAAACTGGAAAACTCCCAAGTGCCTAGCTGGTTGGCAGATGCTGATTCTTAGTAACGGACACGGTCAGCTTATTGTCCACGGCCTGGTGGCACATCAGAGTGGCCCTGGAGGAGAGAGTTCAACAAGAAATCGTAGGTAGCAGTGGAGGACCTGGTCACGGTCCCTCTAACAAAGCCGAACGCCCGGCTCCTACCAGCCCTGGAAGGACGACCTCCTGAGTGAATCCTGGCTAACGTCGTGCCCATCTGCTCTCTTCTTCTCTCAGGAGGCGGCGTCTCGGGGTGGTGAGCAGGGCAGTGCCATGGTTCACGTAAGGTCGGAACATGTCCCCATGAGCTAAAGTGTTGGGGACTCAGCCTTCAGTGTGGTGGTGTGGAAGAAGCGGGGCCTAGCAGGAGGTCTTTATGTCACTGGGGACACTATAGTCAGAGGGGACCAAGGTAGCTCCCATGAACCCATGAGAGGGTTCTCTCAAGAGTGTGCTGGGCTGCTGGATTGCTCTCTGTCTTCTGATCTCAAGGTGGGATCTCTTCCTGCTCCACACACCATTACCCATAGGGTGCTCCCCAGAGCCAAACAATCCCAGCATAATCCCTTCAGCCTCCAGAGACATGAGTTTAAAAACCTCTTTCCTTTATAAAGTTACTCATCTCCAAGTACTTTTTTTGCAACAGAAAGCAGACTACTAAATTACCCAAGAATATTTGTGTTTGAATTCCTAGACCCTAAGAATAGGTTAGGTTGCAGGACAAAAGAAAATTAAAGTTGAGATGAAATTAAGGTTGCTAATCAGTTGAGCTTGGTGTAGGAAAATCATCCTATCTTATGCAAGTGAACCCAGTGAATCTCAGGATTCCTGAAGCATAAGAGTGGGAGGAAGACATGAAACATGAGACGGTCGAAGCCTTCTGTTGTGGGATTTGAAGATGAAAGACGGGAGCCATAGCCAAGGAATGTGGGTGACCTCTCAAGAGTAGAAAAAGCACAGAAACATTGTCCCTAGAACTCCCAGCAAGTACCACAGCCCTGCCAGTACCTCATTTTTAGCATAGTGAGACTCGTGTTGGACCTCTAAACTACAGAACTATAAGATAGTTTTAAGCCACTAAATGTTACAAAAGCAATAGGCACTTTGTACTTTGAACCTTTGGGACTGACTCCTGCAACCCTGTATTTTCTTGGACTCTCTTGTTTAGGAGTAGAGCTTTGCTGACTCTGTCTCCTACCATTTGGGTCAACTATCTCCTTTAGACAGTTGAACATTGAGTTTTCAAAATTTTTCTTTTGTCCTTTCTTTGACTGGACCTTTCTTTTCTTGTCTTATTATTGCAACATTGTTTCAAAGAACTCCAAGCCCGCAGGCAACTGCCCCTCAACTCCCTCTGATTCCTTCCTGGGCTGTGTGTGTTGATCATCCATCTCTTTCTTTTTAATGCTGGTTTATTTTTGATATTTAGTGACAGCGTGCAAAAGCATGAAGAACAGAGTTTATTCTTCTGGTGACATAGAAGTCCCCAAAGGAGATGGGAGCCGTCCTTCTGTCATCTGTGGTCACTGCTGTAGTCTAAACATTGGTGCCCACCACCCGGACACCGTTGTGTGAGGAAGCCCCATACCTACTGCAGTAGTATCAAGAGACAGGGGCTCTGGGGGGGGCAATGAGGTCATGAAGACTCCCCCCTTGGGAATAAAAGCAATGTCCCCACCAAGCGGGTCCTGGGAGCTTGCCTGCCCTGTCCACCGTGTAAGGACGTAGCCAGGAAGCACCGTCTATAAAACAGGGGTCTCACCAGACACAGATCTACCAGTGCCTTGGTTGAGACTCGGCAGCCCACGGAAGGGTAAGAAACACATTTCCCATGTTCATGAACTTCCTGTCTAAGGTGTTCTGCGCTGGCAGCTCCAGTGGACCAAGGTGCCTGCCCAGTGAGAGGCCACTGATGACGGTCGAGTGAGATGCTGGTGAGCAGAGCGAGCAGTAAAAGCCGGGAGAAGAGTGGCACCCCTCCCAGGCCCTCCAGGCACCTGGGAGGCTGACAGTGAGCACTTCTCAAAGCTTCTTGAAGGAAACAGAGTCTGGGATTTGAGACAATCTTAGAACCTTAGTTGCCAACAAACAGTGCAGACGAGCAAATCTCCCCTTCCTGGACGATAACGAAGACAAACAGTAAGAGGCCTCCCCATCCCCCATGACCCATGACCCCATGACCCAAGGCGCATGACCTCGGTGGGGGGAAGGGAAGACTTGGTAGCCATCGTAGATGCTAAGACAGCGGCATCAGCCAAAGCCACAGCTGTCACACCCACCTTAGCACAGAGTCCTGGGGGGCTGGGGGGATCGGCCGTTGTGTCTTTGTTGGACAAATCATTACAATGATGGGTTTGGTCACTATTCAGTATATAAAAATTGTGTTGTGAAATAGACACACACATCTGAATCCTAGCTCGGCCACTCGCTGGCTGCATCACCCTTGGCACATTATTTACCTTCTCTGAGCCCCAAGAGCATGTGGGCAGTAACACTTCCCTTGAAGGGCTATTACTGAAGGAGGAAACTGAGGGTGCGGCATTGAGCTCAGCACTTGGCCTCCATGGGCACTCAGTAATGGTGGCCAGTACCCATTTTTGTAAAGTTCAAAAAAAAAAACAAAACCTCTAGATGTAGTTCCAAAGAGGAAACAAGACCCAGTGGGGAAGGTAGTCAGGACAGCACTCCCCCTGCAGAGAGTTGTTCCAAAAGATCTATTTCTGTCATTTCCATCTGAATGTGTTTCATGGTTTGGGTTAAGAAGTGTCAGGCCCACAGCAATTAGCGTGGGTTGCTACAGAGGTCTTCCTAAGTCAGACCCCACCGGCAAACAGCAGGGACCCTCAGCTACCCGAGGAAGAGGGGAGCTCAGACACCAGCCCTTCTGCTTTCCACTGGAGTTCTCAATTCAGGGAGCTGGTAAGGAAACCAATAAAATCATAATACCAGTAAGTATTTCCTGAGCAACTACTAGACCCCCATCAAACCTCTCAGACTGTATCACTGACTACAGCTCATGGCGACAGATTGTTGGATCTCTAGGAGCCAGAGCTCTGAATTTCATTTAGCATTTAATTAACTGGAACAGACCACGAACTCCATGGCAGCCCCTGATTGCAATCTGTGGATGGATGGGCATCTTTATCTGAAAATGATGACCAGCTTATCTTCTGTGGTACAGCGATCACGTATGATATGTATCTCTCGTTATCCCAGCCAATCAAACACAGAAAGTTTATTAAGATTCTATCGTGGGAAGTTATCTCCAACGATAGGATTTTTCATCTAAATGTGCTTGGGTGCAATACCGTATTTTGTCTAAGAGACCCTCAGGAAGAAGGAGGGAGGGCAGGTTATCATTTAGGAGCATGCAGTGAATCGACAGCCCATGACCCAACAGTTGAAGGAGGAGATCCCATCAAAAGTTTATGGCACACCTTTCGTAAAAACCGAATTGACATGGCTGCATAAATACATCATCAGTATGATCCTAAAATAAGAAGGATTAAAAAAAAGAAATTGGGCTGTAGTGGCTCAGTGGTAGAGCACTTGCCTAGTATGTGCAAGGCCCTGGGTTCTATCCTCGGCACCACATAAAAATAAATAAATAAAATAAAGATATTGTGTCCAACTACAACTGGAAAATAAAATCTTTTTTTTTTTTTTTAAAAAAAAAGCTATTACTTAGGCAACTGTCTAGAAATGCAAGCCTTCCGTTTCTATATTTTCCTTAAGGTGGACTCTGAGCTTCCTAGAGGCCACAGAATAAGAGAACTGTTATCAAGTCTGCAATTTGGGGGCTCATGAAATAACTACTGCCTGTGATTTCTGGGAAGTCGGGCTTCACTCAGGCTGATTTTAGACGGGATTTGGAGAAGGGATCTACACGAACACATGGCGATTCACTGACTGATTCATCAACAAACATCTCCCCAGCCCTGTGTGTGCTTGCCCACCGTATTGGTGCTGAGTCCTTAGTGCTGGTTCAAACTCCCCTGTCCACTAGGTATGTATAAGCCACTGGATGTGACAAGTAGGCAGTGAAGCCACCACGGAACGAGGAATGCTTCCACCTGGGATGACCCCTGGGTTAGACAGGTCTCTGGACTTTGTGTGGCTGAGGACTCTCCCGTGGATGACAGAAGCTTTAAAAGAGAGACATTCATGAAGAAGATGAGGGTTGGGCAGGATCCCAGGTCAGAAGGATTGCACGTGACTCATCTCCATGTGAGGGGTTACTGCTCAGTGTCCCTCCGCCCCCCCCTTCCGGCTGAGCTCCTTGACACCATTTCTGATTTTTCAATGTTACTCTTCCAGGTCCTAAAGGAGGAAAGAAAGGAAACAGAGAGGCACTGGGGGACACCAGAGCAAGCTGGAGACGTGGCAGGTTTTATTGGTATTATTATTATTATTGTTTTATTGGTATCGATCATACAATCAAGATTACCTGCTGAGGATTTCATCTAAGGATTCTGGGCTTCACTGTTCCTCCAAAGCTCCCAAGAAGCACATGGGAGATTCTTGTAAGTTCTCTAGAGACCTCCAAAGTTTATGAGACCATTTCACACCTCGATCTTAGCTGATGTCCACAAGCACCTGGCACAGGAGGTATCAGCCTTTGGGACGGTACGGGAGATAAGTCTGGGGCAATTCTATTCTGGCTCTTCCATAGTGTTGCTGGGGCACGTGGATCAGCCTCCCCGACTCTGTGCTGTGAGCTCTCTGATCCCAGAACAGCATCTACGTTTTTTTACAGTAAATTCCAGAAAGCTTGGTTAGATCAGAATTATACCACCTTGAAGCCGTGTGGGTAAGCCTTGGGCAAAAAAAATATTAAACGTCTCTGAGTTTTCAATCCTTCCTCTGTCAAAGGCAGAAACAATACATGAGTTCAAAACACAGTTGCAAATCACCTGGTACCCGACCCCAACCCCAACCCCAACCTAGTAACCCGGCCTTTGTCCTTCCTCCATTCTTCAGTCACCCTCTCTCCATCTCTGAGACTCTTCCTATTAATTTGGGAGCAGGCTTGAAAGCCTTCATCCTCCCTAATTCCCTTCCTTTCTCTCCATTTCAAGAAAAATAAGGCTCCTGAGCTTCCTGGGGGCTTCTCTATCATCAGCTTGACCATCTCACTAGAACTCCGGGGCTCCCATCTTTCTCTGCCATCCTCTTGGTGTTCCCAAATCTTGACCGAGTTTGGGGACCACTCCCCCTACTTTTCTTCCTTCCCCTCCTGGAGCGTGGGGGCCACTTGGAACGTCTGGCTCTGCCTCCTGGCTCCATAACTCCTCACTATTACCTCCACCCTCTGACAACAACTCCTCCTTGGAACTCATTAACTCGGCTTCCCCGTTAATTCATTAGCACCCGGGAGGCCCGGCGATGATCCTTCTCTTCCTCCTACAGTCTCTGCCCTTACAAATTCCATTTCTGAGGTTTCTCTCACATTCCGTTTATTGTGACATCGTTTATGAAGTTCTCCCTCGACAGGAGAGGAGTCAAAAATAACTATATATCATTTTAAATTGCTCTGGTTGGTAACTCTACATTTTAAGAATATCAAGGGGGAAAAAAGTGTCTAATGACAGGGCTACAAGTGGGTAAAGAGCTGGCAGGGTAATTGCATTACCAGATGCTTCCAGACTCCAGTTAGCTGCTTCCCGGGCCCATCTGAAGCGATGGGTGTCAGGTCAGTAATTAGGCTCTTGCAGACAAACTCAAAGTGCCACCTGATCTCCTATGAACACGGCCATCACTCCCGTGTATGCCAAGTTCAATATGAAGCACACCGCCACCATCCTTCTCCTGCAAGGCTGCCAGAAATTCCCAGGGACGTCTCCCCCTCACTCCCACGCAAGCTAATGAAGTCGGTGCTTCCCCCGCATGTCAAAGAATTTGCTCCCAGGGTGGCAGTAGGTTGGCGCCCGTGGATGACGCCAACTCCGACAGCAGCCTCCTCTCTTCTGATTGTAGACCGGCTGGTAGAGTCACACTGGGGACCTCTTTGTATTAGTTCCTTTGTTGGATTTCCTAAGGCGCCGGCTCCTTGAAATAGTGTGAAGGGCACCGGCTTCAAGTCCCCAATGAGCCGTCAACTGGCCACGGGACCTTTGTTGCCATCTGACTCCAACTGGACCTGTCCCCACTCCCAGAGACAGGCTAAGGTTTGTGGGGAGGGAATGGGACAGGGGGTCAGTCTCTGCCATAAGACAGATCCCAGCATTGCGTGCAGGGAGAGCATCTGTCCATCATTCAGGGTTCAGAGTCACAGGTCAGCAGCGGGTTGAGGTCCGGGTGAGCCATCTCCAGGAGGGGAGGATGGCAAACTCTGATCTGAAGGACCAGAGGCCTGGCCAAGGTTCAGAGCAGTCCGCTTTGGGGAAGGCGGTCAGCGGGTCTCAGGGCTGGCTTCCAGGCCAAGGGTGGCCACGGATAGGACTCCAAACTGGGAAGACGGAGGGCAGGGAGACATCTGCACATCTGCTTGCCCACTCAAACTACGTCTCCTATTTTTCCGACACTAAGTGCCCGGTTTCTGTTCCACTCTCAGCTGCTTTCCCCACCCCTCACACCTGGGACCCGTGCTCTTCACTTGGGTCCAACAGAGAAAGCACTAGAATTGTCAGGGAAAGGACCCTTTCTCTCTGATGACACCGCTGAGCCAGTTTCAGCATCTCCATGAAATCATGGCATCAGGGGTGGCTTAGCGGGCCACCTCAGGGACAGAGATCTCCCAAAGAAAAGCCAGCCCCGGAGCAGAGATGGAGAAAGAAGGAGCTGGGCTGGGTCACCACAGCTGGGCCACCACCACAACCCCAGGGGGCCCTCGGCTCTCCAGCTGGGGATGCAGTGAGCCTCCTGGAATTTGGTTTCAGCCCGTTTTAGTTGGTCCCCTTCCCTGATGACGGCAGCGTCCTCAGAAACGGATCAAGTACAGCTCAGTCCTAGAGGGGCCAGGGACTGAGTCAACTCTATCAAAGGGGCTCCCAGAACCTTTGGTCAAAGCTAAACCCGCGTGGGTCTTGCAGCAAAGAGATACACAGTGACCCAAACCAGGGAACAAACAGTAGCCAGGGGAGCTGGCCCCAGGCCCACAGCTCCAGGGTCTTCCGGCACCTCCCACTCAGGCCAGGGTGGATGGTCTCCTGGTGGGGCGGGGAACCAGCTGGCACAGGGCAGGCGAGTTTTCACGTTCACATTGATGCCGCCTGGCCCAGGGGCTTTGGAGAGACCCCCTTCTTCCCATGGTCCTGGTTAGTCTCTTAGAACCGTTTGCTCCTTAGACACCCTTCCAGACCCTCAGAGCTGCAGCCCCCTCGTCTCCTCCAGCCCACTACACAGCAGTCGTGAAACCAGGGCCTCAGAATGAAGGCTCCTGGGACCTGACAGAAAGGTCCCAAGAGCACGGAGTCCAGGTTTGTGCCCACTACGGGGACCCTCCAGCTTTCTTTAGTCTTTCAATATATTTTCCATATGGGGGACAAAGAAGGGCTCGATGACATCTTGTTGTTTCTTAGTGAGATTTTTCCCCTACCCCTAAATACACCGGGTCACACCAAGGACCACGCTTAGCCACAGATGATTTACAGGATCTAAAGGTGTTGTCTGAAAATGTAGAATGTTATGCAAATGTTGTTATAATGTCTTTTTTTTTTAAAAAAAATTTATTTAAAACAAAGATATAAGTGCATTAAATGGTGCATGATATGATTTTGATGGCACAGATTTTTATTCAATGTTTCTATTCGGCCAGTGAAGAAGATGAAAGATGAGGTGGGTGTGCAGGCAGGCCCTCACCTGGACTGTGGAGCCTCTTTGCCCGCGTGGAATCCTGTGTGAGGGCACCGTGAAGGCTCAGGGCTTTAGGTCGTGGGTGACGGGTTGCTGGATTTTTTTGATGGCTGGAAATGTGAGTCAAGGCTGGGATGTGGCAAAGCCCTCTTGGTGCCTGGTCATGAACTTGGCCTCTCAGACACTGCTCCTCGGGAGGAACCCTGAGAGCTATGGTGGAGCTGTGCACAGCTGCCTCAGCCCGGCTTAGGGATCCCCAGCAGCCAGGTCCCCTCTCCACCACTCTTTAATCATGAGGCTAATCTTCAAAGAGCACTCTGTAAACATCAGCTTTTCCTGGTTTAGAACGATTTCATGATTTAGTGTTCTGTAAACAGCAGCTTTTCGTGTTTTCTGCAGGAAACAGTCTCTGGGCAGCTCAGTTTCCGCCCGTCAGCCTCTGACCTGGATGCTGAGGTGGCAAGAAGCACTGCAGAGAAGATGGCAACTCGGAAACTCCCTCTGAGAGAAGAACCCACACACGATTGCAGTGCGATGTGGTTCCTGCCGGGACAGAGGCACCCACGGAGTTCCAGGGAGGGTCAAGTTGAAACCCCATGGCAGAGTGGGGGAGGGTAGCTATCTCTGGTGGAAGAAAAAGGAAACCAAGTTTTTCAAAGTGGTCAAGCACAACTTGCCGGGCTGCATTTCAGCCGAGGGCCTCAACAGAGTCTTAGTGGTTTCCATGACTGAGAACAGTTCTGATGATCGTGTGGGAATAGTCATTCTGGTCTCTCCAAAGCAATGAATAAAAGCGTTTAAAAATCTGGCGAAGCAAAAGATTAAAGGACTATGCAACAATACTTGCTGATCTGGTGAAGCATGGAGAGTCATCACAGGAGGGCCAGGGGATAGGTGGCCAGATGCAGCAGGAAGATGGGCAGGGGCGGGGAAGGAGGAGAGTTTGAAGCTCTGGAAGCGTATGGATTTCAGCAGGGCCCTCCTCGTGTGAGCCACAATCGCTGTGTGAGTTGAAGGATGCTGTGGCCGACCACACAAGGTTTTTGAAGTTGGTTCTCTTCCACCTGACATAGAAAACGCTGACTGGGTATCGACCAAATCTTTGCACCAGTTAATAGCAGCTGTCAATGTGCAGCAAGCAAAGAAATAAACAAAGACAAGCCATGGCCTCTTCCTTACCCAAGACCATCTTAATCACTCCCACTGGAAATGGATTAGTGAACAGATGCTGGTAGCAAGCAACCCAGGGGGACAGTAGCCAGAGGGACTTGATATGAAAGAGGGTGGGACACCAGGTGTCATTCAGACAGACTCTGGGGATGAAAATGAAATGGGTGTAAAAGCACTACTAGGGTTTCCTGAAAATTCTAACTCCAAATATTGCTTTAGACCTAACATGGAGCATACAGAGGAAAGGGAAGAGGCAGGCAGTAAGCTTCTCCAGACGCTGAGGGCAAACTCAGAATGCACCATCCTACCCCTGGCCTTTCTGATCCTTCTTTCCTCTATGGTTAATCAGTGGGGTTAACCAGCCTCACCTGAAGGGATTATTTTTAGATCAAAACGGAATCAGGCAAAGTACTGGCCAAGGCCCTGGGCCAAGTAGATGTTCCATCAGCTCTAGTGCATGTTGTCATTGTGTGAATGCCCCCCAGACAAAAGTTATCTGTACCACAAAGAAATACTAACCCTGTCTAATCCTTTGGATTTTAATCTAAATTCTCAAGCTGAACTGTTATCTGTTTTGTCAGTTAGAATGGAGAATCAGAGGCCCTGAGTCACTCTCAATCTGAAAGTCAGGAATTTTTCACTTGCAGGTGGTACAGAAAATGCATTTTGCTCTACTTCCCACTCTTGATCCCTACCCAAAATGGTAATTGTAAAAAGAGAAAATAAGAGGGAAGATGGCACATGGATGTCCCACCTCCTCAAACCACAAAATATACCTCGCCCCTGCCAAACACACCTGGTGCACACCTAGGTGGTGGGTACAGAGCCAACACGACCCCACCTTGGGGCTCAAACTGTGTATATGGTCCCTGAAACGTTCACTCTTTTAATAGTGTAACCAATTACAATTGTTGGTTCTGATTCCAGATGAAGATTCTAGGGTTCTGTACAAAATATAGGAAAGCAAAGCAAAGCCCTTTCAGAAATCCCACCCAAGAACCTGGATGCTCTGAAGACACAAGGACTGCAGGCTGATCACGTCATTGTCCCTAGTGCAGCTCAGGTGGGTTCCAGGAGGGAAAGGAAAGGGAATGTTTAAGATCATAGGACCAAGCACCAGTGTCTTGCCATTGGCCACAGCAACGTCTCACGTATTAAGAACTTCAGCAAGATGTCCCACAGGTCAAAGAAGGGATAAGCCCTGTAAGGAGGGTGGAAGATTTGGTTTGTCCAGAGTGAGGCTCTGTGTGTCCCAGTCACTTTACCCCTGTCCTTTTCTATACCTTGACCTGGAAGAAAGTGGGGGGTAGGAAGTTAGTCATGAAAAAAAAAAATAAATTGCACCAAAGAAAAGAGTAGAAAAGAGACATTGAGACATCCACATATGTGGAGGTTGCAAGAATGATTATTTGTGTCAATGAGAAAAGAGCTCATAAAATTAAGCATACATCAC